CTCCCAGCCAAACCAGTCAGGTTCACCTGTCAGAGGCCTGAAGATCTACTGGTAGATTCTGATCTACTGGTTGGTGACCACCACTGTAGTAGGCCATGCACATTGACAACTTCAGGTCCCCCATTCCTGTGTTGTCATGCTCTTGGCCCTTTTACTAAGGGCATGATTATACAACATGTTAGGTTGTTTTTACCAACATAAGGAGAGCCAAGCTCCACACCCAGCCTCCAGTGAGGAGCCCAGTAGCCTCACTGCAGCCAGGGTCTCAGAAGGAAACAGCCTGGCTCAGATCAGAGAGCCCAGGAGTAGGAATGTTAAATATCAGTTAACTGAATAGTCATTAACCTCATTCTTAAAGGTTACTTGACTAGTCTATGCCCCCTGGGGGCAGGGTTGGCAGCCAGTGTGCTCCAGCCCCACTCCCAAAGAGCCCCCTGCCACTCTGCACTGCTGCCTCTGTTTCAGAGGCAGCAGCAAGGGGTGCCAGGTTGAAGCTGGTCCACAAGAGGAGCTAGTTTAACCCGCTGTCTGTGGCCCCATGCTGCTGCCTCTAATATAGAGACAGCAGCACAGGGTAGCAGTAGCCCCTGTCTGGGATGGGGGATGAGCACCCAGCACGAGTCAGAACTGATCCAGGCTGCCTGCCCACCTGGCTCCTAATACACTTTAAATGCAGAGCCACAGCAGGGGTAGGTCCCAGACCCAGGGCAAGCTGGGCTGTTGGCCAGCCGACTAAAAATTTACTGGTGGTGGGTAAGGGGGGGATGTACATGGCCTACAGCATTAACCTATAAGCTTTTGCTTATTGGTTACTTGACTATACTATTGCATCCCTACCCTGAAGCAGCTGAGCTCTAGGTGGAGCCTAACACCTTCCTAGGGTGATGGCTTGAGCTGACATGGACAAGAATGACAGCCAGCAGCCAATGTAAGCAACAGCAATGTTCACATGACAACATGTCATCAGAACTACACCAGCATAAGCCCTACGCCTCTTGTGGATATGGAGTTACTGTGGCAATGTAGTAGGGCACTTCCATCAGTAAGTGCAGGCTTGACATCAGTTGCCTTATGTCAATCTGACTCAATTTTGTTGACTCAGCCTAAGAGTGGTCTAGTTTCTTGTTTGTGATTTGTCAGTATTGTGGGAGGGAGCAGAGTGGCACAGCAGAAGCATCCTGGGCCCACAACTCAGAGGTCTATAGATCAAAACCATGGATACTTTTTTAGCCTTTGGCAGAAGCTAGTAATGGGTGCCAGGAGAAGGATCACTTGAGTACCTGTTCTGTCCACTTGCTCTGGGAGCCAATGCTAGAAGAGAGGCTACTGGGCTAGATGGACCTTTGATCTTGTGGAAGCAAGGGATTTGTATGCAGCCATTTTTAGGTTTGTTAGCCTATCTCTTGTTCTGTCACTAATTCTGAGGCCTGACAATGCGATAGTTGTAGAGACGTGTTGTCTCCGCTTCGCTTTAGGATGAAATGCTGACTCCAGCAGGGACCTTGGGATAGGGTAGCATCTGGGAGGAACTAAGATAACTGTTAGCCTTCTTATATGTAATGCTTGTATTTCAAAGATCTGCCCCCATCCGAATCAGGCTTCCCTTGCACTATTGCTCGAATAAACTGCCTCTGGCTACTTGTTGCTTACAAACACAGAGTGAAGGCTTGTTTTCTTCCACAATCTGACCCAGTATGGCCATTCTTATGTTCTTACATGTATACATGGAGTTATTTGCTAGTCAGAGTTTACCCCAGTTAGGATACACTGCCTCCCCAGGGACTCTCCCCTACATTCTAAGGTTTAAACAACTCTCATGCCTGTATGCTGTCTCTGAGCGAGCCCCAGAGCCATCTGCATTTCTGCTTCAAGAGCAAAGCAAAATTCAAAAGGATCTTCTGGCACCACCCCCTCTAACCCACTACCTGTCTATGTGAAGCCACCCCCTGCAAAAATGCGCCACTTGTCCCATTGCCATCTCGGTGCCCTTTGATAGAACCCTGTGCAGACATGGATGCAGATATGCACAGATAGATATTGGTATCTGTTGATCTGCAGGGCTCTACTGCCAAAAGGCCCAGCAGCCAATAGAGAGGAGTGTAGTCCCATCAATCCTGGCAGCCTGCATCCACAGCTCCTCCCACCAGTGCAGCTGTATTTCCCCCAGCCCTGGCGTCCGTCTGGTGCACGGGCATAAGGAGCTGCTGCTGCCACCAGGTGCTGGTTCCCAGCAGTGACAGGACCACACGCCTCTCCATTTACCACAGTATCTTTTGGGAGTAGAGCCGCGGGGATCAGTGGATATCCATGTCTAGCTGCAGCTACCCACACCTGTATGGAGACATCTGTATCTTCACGGGGCTCTACCCTTCTGTTCATCCAGCCCACAGACTCCATCTCAAGTCACCCTTCATGTTCTCCTGTCCTTTCTGGGTAACTGCATCAATAAAGAGAAGTTAGTGTTTGTGCTACACAGGTGATCAGCTTCTTCTAGGCTCAACTCAATTGCAGCACCAGCCTTCTTTACAGTTGCCCAGTTTGCAACACTAAGAGGCATAGAGTTGGGCCTAAGCCACAACCCTCACACCAAGGTCTGTTGTTGCCTCACCTGCCTCCAGTGTGTGGCAGCCTGTAGCTACGCAACACCGCACATATATCTCCATATGCACTGCCTCCAGCTCTGGCTCCTCTCCCTTTACAGACTCACATGGACCATCTGGAGGAGAGTCACTGTCCCACCCGAATAATTCTGGCTTCCATCACCTAGAGAGCTGACCCCTCCAAGGCTATGATCAGTGCTCCCTTTACCTCTGCTGTCCTGCAGGCCATTACACAAACACTTCCCATGGGGGAGAGGGGTTAGCGCCACCCAGAGCATTACACAGTAAAGGGCATCTGGACACTGCAAGAAGCTGAAATTCACAAATGTCTTAAAACAGTGGGCAGTTTGTTTAACATGGCAGGCATTTCCTCCTCGGATCCAACCAGTCAGCTCGTCTCAGACAGCATCGCGGCACTCATCCACATCAACGAACAAGGTGATAAGTCTCCATCCCTCTGTCCTGCTTCCATCTGCCTTTGGATCTGGTGCAAATGCCACATGACGCTCCAAGCCACAACTCCTGAGCACTCAAAATTCCCTGGCTTATGCACTCAGTGGGGCTCCCTCCTTTCCTCAACCATGAGTGGGAACTCCATGAAGTCACTCTCCCCTACCTCTTCTGCTCAGGGGGCAGCCCATGTTGGGACCTCTTCACCACTCACAAGAACCACCAGTTGCCTCTTTATTGTTCCAGAGGAGCCATGGGAGAGCCTTTACAGGGCTTCTCCTAACCTGGATGGGCACCTCCCCAATGCCTTTCCCTCTGTTCCAGCCCTCCCTCAAGATTCATTGGGCCTGAGCTGCCATAATACTCATAGCCATTCTGGTGCACTGTCAGTTGTGAGTCACAAACCTCCCTGGGACTCTGCCTACACACCACTCCACCTCAGAACACTCCCAGAGCTTCTCAGGCAAGATTGGGGCAGATTCAATTTCATAATCAAGAGCCTCTTCACCTCTCAGCGTGGTTCTTGGCTGCGGCTCGAGGGGAGGCAAAGCATGCTTCCACCTCAGAGCCACACATCCTTACACAAAGCAGGAGGGGATCCACCAGGGCCTGCTACCAAGCTAAGTGGAAACATTTCACCACTTGGGCTCATTGCCACCACTATCACTGAAGTGAGGTGTCCAGACCTATCATCCTCAATTACCTCCTTGAGCTCAAAATGTTGGGCTTTTTCCTCAGCTTTATACAGCTCAATCTGGCAGTAGGTAGGCCCCTTCTCCCGCTTCAGTGTTTCTACACCCTACCACCACCCATTTTATTAAAGGTTTCCTCAATACCTTTCCCAGTGCGTTAGCCCACACCCTTGCGGACCTTTATTCTTGTTCTACCCACCTCTATGAAGCCACCCTTTCAAGCCCCTCGCAACATGCTCCCTCTCTCTTCTCTCCATGAAGATAATATTGTTGTTAGCAATTACCTTGGCTGGACAGGCCAGCAAACTAGCCACCATGGGTTGAGTGCAGGCTGCTTGCTATACCTTCCCTCGGTCTTATTCTTGATTTGAGACTTTCAATCTCTATTCCTGCCTATGTGCTCCTGTCCTTCACTCCCACCTTCTCCTCTTATCTGTTCAGCTCCCTACTCACTCGTCCCCTCAGCTCCCCTCCTGCTTTGCTGAATTACACAGAAACATATTATAATAAGAGAACATGCTACAAATTCCCAGTAACTGCAAGCTGAGCCTCCTAAATCCGGGACTCCCTGGTCCAGCAACATCCGTGGTCTAGCAGGATCACGGATGTTGCAGGACCAGAGAGCCCTGGTGCCTGGGAGTGAGAGCCAGTCAGGAGTCCAGCATCCGAGAACTCCACCATCAGGACTGGTGAGTCCCATCCTGGGGAGCCCCAGCTGGGTGTGGCAGCAGTGGAGCAGCCACGGAACCCTGTCCGCGACAGAAGCAGGGCAGCGGGTAGGGTGCTACGTCCCGGAGAGCCCCAGCCAGCTGGCAGAAGCAGGCCAGAGCCAAGCCCAAGCCCTGTAGCAGCAGGGCTGGAGCAGAGCCTGGTGGAGGGAGGGGCAGTGTCCTTGGAGGCTGGTGGCAGGGGACCTCCCCTGATCTGGCAAACTCCCTCATTCACAAGGGTGCTGGACCAGGGAGATCCAACCTCTACACTGTTTTATAGCCACAACCCTTATATCCCCTCCCTCCCTTTCCTTCAGTTTTTTAGAGTAGAGGGCAGGCTGATGTGTCTAACACCTACAAAACTACTGAGACCTATATAAAGAATGGTAATGTCTGGTGAAAACATCAGGCCATCACTCCATGGATACCTATTAATGCTAGGCTATTGCAGTTTTTAAAATGCTTTTGGGAAACAGCCAACATATTGCAGGCCAATTGCAGAGAGTGGCAAGTACAGGGAAGAGAAGCCGTTAAGGGTCGTTCACGGCAAGGGAGGATTAAGAGAATGAGGCTGTTTATTTTCTGAAAAGGCCTGTTATTGCCAGAGCCTGAGAGACAGATACCAGGTTACAGGGTAACAACGGTGAATTATATTAAACAGATTTTGACAAATAAATAGAATTTATTTTGTACAAATGGCTGTGGTTTCATGATTAATGTATAGAATGGTATTTATTGCTCTATACATCTATTTACTCCAACATTACAAAATACCCTGAAGAAAAACAAGGCTAGTGACATTTTAAAGGAGTTTCCCACATTGGTCACATTTGATTCTGATAATATTCTAAATCACAGATTACTGACAGAATATAAAATGTTTACAACACTTACTTGAAAGGCAGGAAAAATTGGTCGAGTGCCAAGTGACACTCATGGAAAGTTTAGAAATTATGCTTCCGTCAGTGCAATTAAATTACAGGAATGTGTCAATTTCTGTAGTAACTGACCATCTGTTTAAATATTATTGGTTGATCCCTGAGCAACCAGCTTTGCTCTACATGTCTCTCGAAGTTTGTTAATTGTTGCCATCGACAAGCTTCCAGGTTCTGTAAATATTTTCTAAAACAAATAATTGTTAGTTAAAAACACGATTCCCAGACAATATAGGAGCTGCAAGCAGCTATGCCTTTAGACTCTCAAGTAAACAAGCTGTCTGGCAGCCTGTAGGCCCCATGCCAGAGGTTCCCTCCCCTTGTTTTACATACCATGCTCCTGAATGGTATTACCCTTTGACAACTGTAGTAAATTATTGACTCAGATCAAATTGTGAACTACAGTAACTCCCAGGTTCTCTACAGCAGTGCTACCGCCTAAGCAATTATTTCCCATTTGGTAGCTATGCATTTGATTTTAGAAAATGTATCTAAATTCAACAAAGTCAAACTGAAAACACCTACAAATTCAATTTAAGTGAAAATAAATGGCAATCTGGGCTCCATAGTTCTATTTAGATCTTTTCACTATGTCACTTCTACCCCATTTTTACTATAAAATACCTGTACATTTACTCTTCCCCTAAGGCTAAGCTATATTTTTAGGGAAGTGTTATGCAAAGACAGTGCTAGGAAGGAGCATAACATGATTCTAGACTGAAATAATATTGCCGATGCTAGCAAACATATATGATAGTTGTTGCTTCAACTGCATTGTGAGCACTAAAGAGTCAAATATGACATGGTTTAAACAAACATGACAATCATTTAAGATAAAAAAATGTTGTCTCATAGCCCATATCAGCCTTCTAACTGTGCAAACAGGTCATTTATAAGCTTGCCACAAATTTGGCTTTGTATTCCTTTAGGAACAGTACCGATTCTGAATAGGGAGAAGGAAAAATGAAAGTTCCACAGAATTGAGCTGTGATCTCTGAGTATACTTTAAAAATTATGCTGCAAGTCTTGTTCAGTACCATGATGAGGAAGTTTGCATGGAGTTTAAACCTCAAAATAAAACACTCTCCTGCAGTAACTGTTGTTCTTCAAGATGTGTTCAACTTTAAGTGTGCACCTAAAACACTTAAGTCAGAAACTTTCACCAGCAGTACCAGTAGGTGGCACGTGTGCTCCTCTTGTCCTCATCACCCAGCCAAAAGTATAAAAGAGGGGTCTCCTACTTCCTCCTTTGTACCTTCCCACTACCTGTGAAACACTGTCCAAAATTTTAGTAAAAAAGGGGGAGCTGTGGAAAGTAAATATGCACAATACATCTCAAAGAACAACAATCACTGTACAGTTAAGTAACAACTTTTGATGTATTGTGCACATGAACATTCACTTTGCGGCTTTCCAAAGTCACCTGCGTAGGTGGTGGGATTTCACATCATCTGAGAGATTGCAGCACTAACTTGCAAAGCTGGCATTGTCTTCAAAGGCTTGTGTGATGGCATACTATCTTGAAAAAAAAAGAGTCCAAAGACAACCAGGTTGCTGCTATGCAAATGCCTGTGATTGGTACATTACTCAGGAAGGCTGAAGAAGCACACTGAGCTCTGGTAGAATAATCCATTATTCTTGGTGAAGAATAGACTTTCACAGGATCATGACAAAGTTTAATAAAGTTTAATAAAATCAGACATCCAGAGTGAGATGTGCAGAGCTGACCCTGATTGTCTCTGGATTCTGGAACCAGGCTCTGAATGGATTTCATGTGGTTGATGTAGAACACTAAAGCTCTAATCACATCTAAGGGTTAGTTTCTCCTTGGCTTTAGATGTGTGGTTTTCGAAAGAAGAACAGAAACGGAATAGATTGGTTCATGTGGAAAGCTGACAACACCTTTGGCAGTAATGCAGGATGTGGCTGGAGACAAACGTGATTCTTAGAAAAGGCTGCACAGGAAGGATCAATTAGAATCTCATTTAGTAGAATGCAGGTGATGTACATGAACGGTTGGTTTAATAAGTAATTTCTTTGAAACATCATCTTCAACTTTAAGACAAGTCACATTGCAAAATACAAAGTTGTTTTATACCAGAACTTCTTTTCAGTCTTTTGAAAATTCACATGGATGCAACTCATAAAATTTTAGTCACCTTTCAGGCCCTTCAAAGTCTATTTGATTCCATAGCTTTTAACTGTTCTGCACTGTAAACTAGAAACACTTACCTGCATAAAGGTGTGACACTCTGTTACAAATGTCCCTCTGGTGATCTGCTTAAACTTATCACAAATGTCAGGGAAATTTGTGGCTTCCAAAATAAAAGCTTGATGTTGCTTAATTAATGTTAAGGCCACACGAAAGATAATTTTTGATCCCTCGTAGAATAAACAGTCCCAAATTCGGAGAACAGTCTGCAGAATAAGAAAACTGTCAGAAAGGTTACCTTGTTGCTTTGCAATCAGTAATTATTACTAAGGCATGATCAGTGGGATAATGAATGTATATCCATTACCAGGCAAGCCACACCTTAAACCCCTTTTTGTCCCTCTTCCAGTGCACCTCTCAGGTCACAGGCTTGTTATACCTTACTGTGGGTAGAAACCAAGTCTAACCACTTCTAGATTCCCCACTTTATTAGCCCATCAGGCCCAACTTAGTTTGGCACCTGTGATTCCTCCAGGAACCTGTAACAGTGGCGGATTAGTGACTCAAAACCAGCTTCTTCAAAACCAAGCATTATTTATTCATTCACCCAAAGGTATGTAGTGTACAGAATAATGGGTACATATATACTCTTAACTAATCCTAAATCTTTTCTTACAGTTTCTTTAAATTCCCTTCAGCTGGGAGAAGCAAACTGCCCTGTTCACAGCATGCTTGGTCTGTCTCTCCTTGCCAGCCAGTCAGCTTTCTTTTATGTACCCTGGGCAACCCCACTTCTTAGCCAGCATCTTGAAGATTTTAATATTCCCATTTAGCCTAGGTTTTTGGTCCGGGAAGAATAAACCCTGGCACAATAGTAGAGTCAGGCAAGGGTATTCCCTGAATTAACTGAATCTCTATTGTTTCCTGGGGACTCTTGGGAAACCTTTTCATAATCCCTTATCTTTATTGTTTCATTTCCTGTTGGTTTCTCTCTTGCAGAATTCTATATATTCAGGCAGGAAAATACCACACAAGTAACCTGAGATGAATATATTTATAAAAAATACTGCATGCAACTTCTCTGTTCTCCACCTCCAGTCAGAGCTCATCCTGGAGTACTGGCACCTTTTTTTTTTTAAAAGCACTATATAATACCTTCCAGTTATACTTACCTCTACTGGAAGAATGTCAATAAATAAGCATATAAACCAGCGTGACACTACCAATGTCCACATGACACCATGTCTATCCATTAACTCTGCCACTGCTGGAACTTTCATTCTCACAAGTTCTCCAAGGACCTCCTGATCAGTCTTCAACCCCATCATGGCTGGACTATAATAATCTTTGGAGGAAAAAACCAAAAATTTGTCACTAGCTAGTGTGAAATCTCCATAACTGAGAATTTCCTGTAAATTTTAAATTATTGAAGTTATAAATCACTTTAACCAGGTGAGCCCACAGCAAACGACTGAAGTTACACTAAGGAACAAAGGATATTTATTGGCATCCTCAGCTCACCAACTCTTCTACCTCAGCAACCACTGATCTCTCAACACAAAAAATTACTTCCCCCAAGTCTGCCACAACCACCTCCCTAACAGTTCATTCCTCAGCTTTGCTAAATGTTTTTGTAACTCTCAGACACATCTTACTGTTCCCAGTTCAAACAAAAAGAGCACTTAAAAAATCTTAAGCCAATTTAGAGGTTGGTAGTTACTACTAGAACCCTGCAGATGTGAATGTGGATATCTGCACTCATTTTTGTAGATACGGATGCAAATACAAATTTTGTATTTAGAACCCTGCAAATGTGCAGATATCGGCTTTATATCCATGGGTATCTGCATCCATGGATGTGAATATCATGCATGGATTATTTTTGCAGATGTGGATACAAATTCTGTATCCACGCAGGGCTCTAGTTACCATCATCTAAACTGGAAACCCTGAAAATGACTTGTGCATGCACACCTGCCAACGCATATGTGCGTATGTGCATTATATTTAAGAGAGGTGCAGAAGTAACCTCTGTTATTAGTATTATTTAAAACAAGTGCACCAACTGGTAATGCAAGCATCTCTGTGTGTTTTCGCTTACAACTTCAGGAGGGTAAAAGGTTAGTTACGTTTTCATGTCATTTTTGATGGTCTCTGCCAAGACACTCACACACACACACACACACACACACACACATACAAGGTAAGAACAGAGGAGGCTTAAGTGAAAATAAAACAATAAAAGGGAGGAAAAAAAACTCACTGGCCTAAATAATTTTATAACCCTTCAGTCCATAACACAGTGGATTTCTAATATTCATGAGAAGCTCAGAGACAGAAGAGGGCTTAAGGACCACACAAATTTCCACTTACAGAAATCTGAATTCAAGAACAGTAAAGTATAATGGAGATTTTATTATTCTTATTATCACAGTTTAAAATGTATGGTAGGCACTTTACAAAGATGTACACAAAAAACCTCCTCCTCTCCTGTTGACTACAGAATATTTATCCCTACGTATCTCATAGTCTACTTCCAGAACCACTTTCATAGCACTACAAAGCACAGCACATAACTTTTAGGATTCTAGCCCATTATTTATAATCCATTATAGTCTCTTCCTTCCCTCTCCAGATTCACCTTCTTCTGCAGGAAGTTTTATCCGTGTGTATTACTGCTACTATACTGACATTCCTTCAGTCTCCACTAATCAATCATAAGAAAGCTCTGAGTAACAAACAAAGCAGTCAGCAAGATGTGCATGTGTGTATTATACAGGCCACCTGAAAAATTCCAGCTGCTAGGATGGAGAAAAAAAGAATGCAAGAAGCAGTAAGTCTTACCACAGACAATTAGCCAATACAACAATTCTCTTTGTTTATGTTCTATGCACTTCTGACTCATTTGCAATATTCACGACTTGGAACATAGGAAAGAAAATAAATAAAACTGCTCAAATTTACAGATGTGTTAGTTTTTTGTAAAGCAGGAATTTTAAAAATGTTACTTAAAAAAAATATATATATATATATGCATCAGCAATGGGAGAAGCAAGCAGGAAAACAAGACACCTGCCTCAAAGCAATTAAACACAAAGTAACTTCTCTCTTGAGCATGTTTGAGATACAGGAGCATTACTCAAACCACTAGCAAGTGTACTGATACTGAAGTTTCCACATGCTCTTTCCTATGTACTGCTGTGATCATCTGATATGCTGGAATCAACAGCTGCTATTTTCAATCTTTATAGTACTGCAGCAAAATGAATGTCAGGATATCAGTGTCAGGACACCAACCGCACTGGTTAGAAATGCCAGAGTAAAGTTAGATAAGTCATTCCTCAGCTACTGAGTCTTCTGAATTATGAACTGCTGGTTCAACAGCTGTAGGAAAGCCTTATTTAGATTAAAATATGTTGTAAACGCTAATAACTAAAACATTATGTAACAGTACTACACGGCTGAGCAATGTCTTCCTTTTGTAACTAGGATAGCCTTGTTGTTCCTAATGTAACCGTTTCCATGCTGGCCTTCATTTTACATTTAACATTCCATTTCTGCTTATGAAGAGAGTTGTAAGACAAATGAAAAAATAAAGATTCATAATTTTAAACAGACAACTCATAGATTACAAAGCCTTCTCCAGGATGTTATAGCTGGCACAGAAAAGAAAAAGCTTGTGCTAGAAGAGTCAGAGACTAAGATATTTATTTTTTAATATAAAAAAACCCAAAAAACCACTGAGTGCACAATATTCATGTACAATCCAGGAGAGTTCCTGAAAGTCCCTTATGTTACAACTACCTATAGGTTTTCAGTCATTTACAGTGATTTTAATAACAAATATAATAGGTTGGTGACAGTATAAGCTTTGATGTTAACTTTCTAACTCTAAAAAAAGGCACTAAAAGAATCAGCAGCCTCTCACAGTAAAGCCTAAAGTCTGTAACTGAACTTTAGCTTCTCTCTATTACTGTACTTACTGCAGGTATCTCATTACTAATTTAGGTCACTTTTATTGACTGTTTCACTTGCAATCACCATCCAGAGTGGATATAGATGTAGGATAACGCTCCCAACAGTAAAGAGAGCACTCGGGTTCACAGTGACAGAACACAGAGCCCTCCACTTCACACAATGTCTGTTCTTAATCAAAGATCTGAAGTACAGAACCTGATTGCTAAGTACCCATCACTCCATTGAGTCCATGAATGTTATGCGGCTCATCAATTTTCAGGATAAAGGTTTTTATGAGTAATAAAAAAAATGCTGAAAGCATATTCACAAACTTCCCAGGCATTTTACCATTACTACAAGGCAGTGGTGCCCAACCACCAGTCCATGGACAGGCACCAGGCTGTGAACCACTAGCTGCCGGGTCACGGCAACTCTGAGGGCCAGGGCTCGGGTACGCTGCCTAGTGCCTCCCCTCCCACTGCAGCTGTTGCGGGAGGCATGTCCAGTCCTATCTCTCAACCAACCAGTGACAGGCAGGGGTGGGGTCTCCTCCCAGCTTCAGAAGAGCAGTTCGCTGCACGGTGGGAAGGCTGCACAGAGCGCGGCACGGCAGCCGTGATCTGGACAGCAGCACTCAGCTGGCAGGCAACAGAGCTAGGTGAGCAGCTAATGCTGGGGGACTCTGAGGTGAGGGGTCTAAGAGGCAGGGGACTCATGCTGGGGAGCTCTGGGGGCACAGCTAATTTTGGGAGGCTCTAGGGGCAGGGCTAATACGGAGGACCTCTAAGAGGCGTGGGCTGACACTGACCAGCTCTGGGGGTGGGGCTAGTAGTGAGGGGGCTACAGGGAAAGGGCTGGCACTGTGGGGCACTGGTGACAGCGCTAACATTGGAGACCTAGAGGTTGGTACGGGAAGGGCCATGGTGGAGTTGGGTACAGTGGGGCTCTGGAAACAGGAGGCTGGCATTGGGGGGGTGCAGTGGCACTAGGGTAAAGGGGCTTTAAGGGATGAGGGGCTGGCGGCTGGGGTGGGGGGCTGACAATGGGGGACTCAGAGTGGGAGGCTGGTGTTGGGGGTCCTGGAGGGGGGGCTCTAGCGATTAGGGCTGGCACTCAAGGTCTCTAGGGACTGAGGCTTTTTGTACCATGGACCGGCAAACCCAGTCAAACTTTTGGTGGAACGTTAACATTTTGTTTGCATATTTAAATATTCATTATTTACCTAATGAATATACAAATATGTAAATACAATAATATTGGTCCGCCAAAGTTTGTGTATGGATTTGCCGGTCCATGTTATAAACAAGTCTGGAAACTACTGGTAAGGCACTGGTATATATATTTAAACATACATTTGAGAGAAACCACTAGTCAAGAGATGGTCCCAAGCTATTTATGTGGTTGCGCTAATCCTGGGGTTTGGTGAGCTATCAAAATATTTAAATTGCAAAATATTCTAGTTCAGTAAAAGATTTATAAGATGGTGGAAACCGGCTTTTAATTGCACTTCAACTCTCCTTAATATAATCATTCGTGTGTGCTTGAATCCTACAAATAATATGTCCAATACAAAGTTGCCAAAGATTACCTGCTAGTGCTATAGAGCAGTAACGAGATTTGCAGAAAATAAGAATACAGATTGTAAGGACCATATTACCTTGTGCTCAGTTACAAATGAGATTAAGAAGATCCAAAAATAAAAAGCACCACATCTTAAAACTTTTACATCCTTATACTAACTTTGTGTGACAGTTAATACAAATGCTACTCTAAAAAAGTAACTTAATATGAATTCAAATTGCCATGAATATGGTTCCAAAGAATATAAAGTTTCCACACAAAAACTATATAGGTTTTTAAACTAGATGTACACTTCATAGGCACTCTGAGGCATCATAGATGCTCAGAATTTAAGACAAAACACCTGTGACAGTACTGTAGTTCTGTTGCATACCCTACATAATTTCTGATCATTATTTCAGATGTTTCTATCACTCCCAAGACTGGGCAAAGATGCACATAGTAATTAAGAAAGTAAAATCAGGAGACATGTTTACAGATCTTAAAAAAAGGTAGTAAAAATATTCTTGTGAACTATGTTCATGACAAAGGAGGAAAAAAGGCTACCACATTTTGGGATTCAGAGATCTTTGAAAACGATCCTTTAAGCAGGATTAGCAGATAATCTGATGTATAAAGTGCTCAAAACAGTATTTTAAGAGCGTATGCCATATATAAGAGAGTCACAAACTAGAGAGGGTATGAACATGAGCCTGATTTTTACTCCTTGAACTAGGACTTAGCATATTTGTTTAGTTTTATGTAGCAATACACCACACTCGACCACCTCTAGTTCCAAACCTTTGCTATGGGTATGACAGTGAAAGA